GCGCAGTCCATGTATGTGTCATAATTGTAACACTAGATTTACATTAGCAATCTATGTTCCTTTGATGACGCCTTGACAGGTGAATTCTCATCCTTGCATATTTGGCGAGTTCTGCCATGCCTATCCTACAATGTAAGACTAAATAATGTGACATATCATTGTTGCACTTATTGCGTGGATTTTACTCAATATAATTCTTTATATACCAATACCATTTCGTCATTGAATGTCTGATGTTGGCGACTCGTAGTGGTATTGCGGCATTTTCCGTGAGTGTGTTGTTCTCCTCCACCTCCTTCCAATTTTCAAGTGCGGTGTCTTGTAACAAGCAGGCGTGTCTCTAGATTTTTGGAGTACATTTAGCTGTAGTTGTCGTGGAATGATATCCATGTCTTCTTACTGTCTATTCAACCGCATCAGCTTGCTTTCAACCAATTTTAGACATTGGACCCGTGCTCAACGTGTCTTGAGTCGTCCTTCCTCTCTCGGCCTATCCAACGGGTCATCCGTGAACGTCAGAATTATACAAGTATCACTACTGACATGTCCTTACTTCAGCACACTGGTCCATCAACGTGTTATACCGAACTAGCAGAGTTACCCCTTCCTGTGTCTGCTCATTTCGTTGGCGGTGATGGTGCGTCCATCAACATAATCAGAGATCGTTGATAGACGCCCCCACAGTTGCACGCGTCACTTATTCTGTTCGCGATCACGAGCGTAACATCATACGATCCCTCACCAAGACTTTACCCGGGGGCACTTCTGACCATCAGATAACCTCCCACGATTCCCCTGAAAATAAGGCGTTTACAACGTCTCCTTCCAAGTCTCGTCAGGCAATCCTCCGAGAGGTTTCGAATGGCACAAGTACGAAACGATCCGTCGAAATTTGGGCCGGCACCCAGATAGAGGCTTCCTTAGATGTCACCAAGTACCACGATGCTTTCCATATAGATGGTGAGTTCATTTATCTATGAATGTCATGAAATGCTCGCTAATCAGATACCAGATTTCACATCGTCGCTCTCCTTCTCCCCATCGGAAACATCCCTTCTATATACGGCCGAAGCAAACGTCAACAGCGATGACGATCCTTCAGATGATCCTTACCCCAAATTCAGATACACCCCACACTTTGGCGAACGATCTCGCACCAAGAAAAGATCCACCATTTTTCTATTTTGCTGGACAAGGTCCACAGCTTTCACCAAGGCTGCTAAGCAAAACATGTTGCTCTTTGCCCTTTCATTGGCACAACCTACCCAAGTACCCGTCCTATTCGGCCAAGCTACTTTTGCGACGGAAGATGTCATCTACGCCAGTGGACACGAACACACAAAAGACGGCCGACTACTGGGGGTCAAGTGGTGTTTCAATCGTCCTATGGGCATATGGGAGATTAAACTTCCCAAGTCAGCAACCGTGCAAGGGACACCTTTTGGCACTAAAATCTCTTGCAATTCATTGAAGCTGACTCCACCAGAACGGTCTTGCCGTTCACCTCGTGTGTTATACGATGACAATCAGACGCCCATTAAACTCTTCTGGTTCTCAAATCCCGTCGGCGGTCCTCATGCATCTTGTGTTTCTCTGGAATCTCGCGACTTAACCACAGGTACCAACAAGGTCCTCGTGGACACCGTGATGGAGCCTACCCCCGAAAATGAATTTCCAGGTCTATATCCCGAGTATAACATGTCCTCCAGCCCGTTTTTGCATCGTGGAGACCGTATCTACATCGTGCTCCAATCCTTATGGCGCTCTCGTGCGACCATCCTCTTCATTAATACAGAATCAGGAGCAATTTCAGACGAGACAAAAATACACGACGATGAACCTCTGTATAGTTGGAGCTTACATGCTACAGACGACAAGTCGCGCTTCATCTGTTCAAGGAGCACGCCTACTACCCCATCCGAGGTATTACTAGGATATTTTGATCAACACGACAACCTCAATTGGAATGTCCTAGACAAGCCAACAATATCTTTCGCAAGTACGTCTCAGTCAATTTGGGTTCTTGCCAACTCTAATCACGCTTTTCAGCTGAAAAAGCGCTCAGCGATCTCACTGCGTCGATCATACCTATCGGTGCACGTCCTCCAACAGAGACTCTTGTTATTCAATCGAAGAAGGCTTCCACGGCATCTGGCCCGAAACCCATCTGCGTTACCATTCCACATGGAGGACCCCATGCATCATCGACAACAGCATTCTCCCCAGCTACTGCTGCACTAGCTCTAGAAGGATGTAAGTCTCTTCCAACTTCGCGACTACCGATCACTTACATACTCGCAGATACCCTCTCCCTTCCCAACTATACCGGCTCCATGGGATTCGGCGAGAAATACATCCAAAAACTCCTCGGGAACTGCGGAACAATGGACGTACAAGACGTCTTAGAGAGCGTCAACGAGCTCATTCGACTCGGTATCTCAGAGCATGGACGACAAGTCGTCCAAGGTGGAAGTCACGGCGGTTTCCTCGCCGCGCACCGTAAGACTCCTCCAAAAAATATAAACAACACCCTTTTCACACTGACACTCTCACACAGTGATAGGCCAATACCCAACCTTATTCAATGCAGCAGTGATGCGCAACCCCGTGATCAGCGCAGGCGAACTAGCAGCATCTGACATTCCTGACTGGGCCTGCGCCGAATTAGGGCTCCAGTTCACACCAGACTCACTGATGACACCCGCTACGTTCCAAACACTATTCGAAGCGTCGCCTATCGCGCACGTGGATGATGTACGCGCGCCTGTGTTGTTGTTGATTGGAGAAGACGATTTGCGTGTGGTACCGGCGCAGGGGTTGAGGTTTTATCATGCACTTAAGGGCAGGGAGAGGAGCGTGGAGATGTTGTGGTTTAAGGGGGAATCGCATTCGCTTGATGGGGTGGAGGCAGCGAGGGTTTCGTGGGAGGCTGGGAGAGATTGGTTCAAGAAGCTGGGTCAAAACCTAGTTGAGTAGTGGTAATACACTAAACACAGTCTTCCTGAGGGACAGTACCGTAAGGACCAACAATTTTGTGCTGCCGATCTTCCACCGAGATGTAAAATCTGGGATTGCAGCCAAGGACGACCTAGATCCCCCTTGATATGACGAAGTCGGTATATGAGGTGAACGGGATTGTGTACCTGTGAAATATGTTTGGTATTTTCCTTCACATCAGAACGTCTGAGCGACACAGGACAACGAGAACCATGATGCGGTCCTCGTCCATTGCTTGTTATATTCGACGTTACAACGAATCTTGATTTATTCGACAACGAGATAGGACTACATAACTGACAGCACTCCTTCACGCCCCCTGCACATATCACGCTAATTGTTACATGCACTGGCGAAAGCACATCAGTACTCGGACTCGGATGACGACGAGAAAAGACTCACTCACTCAGGCACTGTGCATGTAGTATTGAGCAAGCCTCAAAGATCATGAACAGGAGTAGGCCTTCCCATTGTTGATCAAGTGACAGCAATTATGGCAGTGGCACGGCGTCCAAGAAACGACAAGGCCATTACTTCCGCAATTATACCCGAAATCATACTCATTGTTGTAACCTTTGATGCCCCTTGAGCACGCCACTTTATTGATGGATGGTCATAAGCACGCTGTGTAGGGTCTGCACGTAGGCCGCAAAAGTGCTCACCAGGTTTGTTTTTGTCGCATTCGAAGTTTCCGGGGTTTATCACCAGGTCCTCGGAGGCGACGACTACGCCAGCCATTGCTGCGACAATGATCATAGGGATGAGTGAAGTGAATTTCATGGCTGAAACTTGTTGTTATTGTCTGAATCAAAGCCTACTACGCAGGCTTTTATACACATGTAGTGTAGGGGGCAGCCAAGCAATCTGCATGTGTCTGTATCACTGGATAAACAGATGCGAGCTCGCGATCCATGTCATAATTATGTTGAAGGCCTCAAATAATGTGCCGGACGCACTTCAGGAGTCCTCTTGGTATGGTTTGGTGAACTTCGGTCTATGATGATGATTTGTTCACCCGATTTCAGCGTACATTTTCAGGGACATTGTTGATATGGGTGAGAGGTGCGGAGGAACAATGAAAAGGTCGTGGGTGCGACGTGCTTCGAATCCTCCGATTCAACTTGTCGGCGTCATCCAGATTCCAGACAGACGAGCCATAGTACCTCGGGTCTAGACTCTAGGGTCCTGCTAGGAAGAATGAGTAGCCGAATATCTTGCACTCATTCGTTCAGCAATCAAGTGGCCAATCATCTTTCTGTGATATGACTGTCCGTGTGGGACCGCCGAGGACGAAGGGCAATGTTTTGGTTGAGTTTTTTAGTTGGCTTGTAATACCACTAATAGTATACGTAAGACTTTAGCTGGATGTATTTGGCCGAAACAGAGGACACGTGACCCCTTGCATGACTTTTCCTGTTTTGCTAGGCCTTTGGTCTGCCTGGGCCCCGACGACGTTTGGATGGGGCAGCTATTCAAACGTTCAACGTTCAACTGCTGGCAGAACGTCCACTTCAAGTTGAACAACCCTACCAGGTGAAAAACTATACGCTGAATCCAGTCTTCCCCCGCCGTTGTTGATACCAGCTCTCATTGTATTTGTCCATGAAGACAGTGCCAAACGGATCAACAGTTTTGCGCTATCACCATGAGAAAATACAATTCAAACATCCCGCGGCCGTCTAATGGCAGAGGTGTGAAAAAAGAAGCAGTTCGAGGACACATACGAACCTTCAAGCATTGAGCGGATGATCTGTGCTTCCTCGTGAGTCAATCTGTCAAGTCTGATATTAATTGATGTGTGTACGTAGGTAATAGGATTGGGCCCCCACCCTTAAAACGTTCGCTGGGAAGGGGCGTTCCAGGAATGCCGTTTCCTTCTGAATGATATGCAGCAAGGTTGTTAATCCCACAGACACAGGGGCGCTTCAATTCGGAAGATAACTACTCCAGGACCCGAGCAATGACACATCCCAAGGTGTAACCTTTCAAGACTACATCATGCTACCGCATGTATGGTATGAGAGCCTCTTTCAATGATGTTGAACGCAGCGCAATTTAATCGTGCGCTACAAACCCTCTCACCAAACATGTCACAGCGGCTCGAAGTTCAAAAGCATGCAATATCGCCGTCCATTTGGAATAACGCTCAAAGTCCAATCGTCTGCCAACCCATTTGGTATGCCGTACCTATATAATTGTCAACGTACGTACTTATATCAGTTACAGCACAACCCAACCAAGCCACCACCGCCGTGGTCAGCGTGGTCGCGGAACCCTGATTGACAATGATAGTGGCTGGCAGTTTTGTGAGCCTACGATTCAACTTGTACGGACGTTTGTTGAGGGACAGTGATATGCAAGCGGTTCAAGGTAGTTCATCGTCGATCAAGTTTTTTTGATTTTCATCGACCTCATCGCTCATAACTGGTCTCTACCACAGCAAAGCCAAACCTGCACAACACACAATGAGCCCACGCTTTTTGTCCACTGCAGGCTATGTGGATCGTGGTGTAGGTTTATTGAAGTTACATTGAAGTATACATTTGCACAATTTGCGTACCCTGTGGTCCGAATATCGGGAATATGCCTAGTAATGGGTCCCGTCACAATTCACACCAAAACTACTGGCCTGGATACTAGTTGGTGGTGAGGTCATGCGGGTACTGAGCACCGCTCAGGACTGTCATATCTCGTCACAAACATGTCCTACTCCTCGCAGAGACGCTTGACCATGCTTCCACAATTCACTTGGTTATTGAGTTTGTAAATGTATGGTCGGTGAGTGCATCTTCTGACTCGAGCTACAAATGTGAAAATTGCGTGAATTTATTATCATCCTCATAGACCAAAGCCGCGAAGTGCGTCCGGCACATTATTTGAGGCGTTCAAAGTTCAAGAAGGTGATGTCACAGAGCGTGAGCTGGCATCTGTTTATCCAGTGATACAGAGCTTCGCTGTCCTCCTTACACTACCTGTGTATAAAAGCCTGCGTAGTAGGCTTTGATCCAGACAACAACAAGTTTCAGCCATGAAATTCACTTCACTCACTCCTATGATCATTGCCGCAGCAATGGCTGGCGTAGTCGTCGCCTCCGAGGACCTGGTGATAAACCCCGGAAACTTTGAATGCGACAAAAACAAACCTGGTGAGCACTTTTGCGGCCTACGCGCAGACCTTAGACAATATGCTTATGACCATCCACCGATAAAGTGGCGTGCTCAAGGGGCATCAAAGGTTACAACAATGAGTATGATTTCGGATATAACTGCGGAAGTAACGGCCTCGTCGTTTCTTGGACGCCGTGCCACTGTCATAATTGCTGTCACTTGATTGACAATGGGAAAGCTTACTCCTGTTGATGAGCTTGGAGGCTTTCTCAACCGCGACACCACAGTGTCTGAGTGAGTCTGTCTTTTCTCGTTGTCTTCCGAGTCCGAGTACTGATGTGCTTGCTTTCGCCAGTGCACAGAACAATTAGCGTGATGCGTGCAGGATGGAGTGAAGGAGGGCTGTTAACAATTTGGCATGAAGTTCTGTGGCTAATTAAATCCGGTCGTGATCACGCTGTCTCGTTGTCCATAAATGTGATGTCAAATAAATCAGGCGATTGACAGGGGCCACATCACAGCTTTCATCGATCAAGTTGATAATTCACTTGCTAGATTCTAGTTTTATCCAACCCTCTAGGAGTACTCCGACACATTTACGCAATCATGCTCAGCTCTCTGTGTGTCGCCCAGATGCTCTGGTGCGAAGGAAAAATGTATTTCAGAGATGGGTGAATTTAACACTGCAGTCGGTGAACGGCGAACACGCTTTCCAACCCACAGACCCGAACACCAAACTACGCAAACATATAATCCTTGCTCACATCCTGGATCCCACACGCCGCCCACATAATGTCAGCCAACTCGATAAGGGAGGAGACTAGACCCCGGCAATCATTAAGGCATTCGCCCTCCCACGGAATCCTCACCCAAGACCTAGCTAAATCGAAAAAAAAATCATGTGCGGTTGACAGGACTTCCAACAGGATAAGTCTTCAATGCTGGGCATCATCAGGAACTACTCCGTGTTCTGCGTTCCGATTTCTGCGCTGTTCAAAACATGTTCAAATATGGACGTAGAGCGAAGGGGTTCAACTTGTGCATGTGCAGGAATTTCCACGAGTCTACAGACGCGGCAAGCGCTTCCAACACGACTTTAGAGGAGAAGCCAGGACCTTAGTAGAAGCTGACCAGTTGTACGTTCCAGATCCGAGTGTGTGGCAGTAGAACGTCTCGATCATCGTCATGCATTATGATCTCGGCCAAAGCGAATCATGACAGTGGGATCCTCTTTGTATTTTGTTGACACGCCAGCCGCTAGAACAGGTATACCGTGAAGGAAGTAGATATGGAGACGCGGATACGGAACCTCGAGGTGAGTTATAACCGTGTTAGATGAGGGATGGTACCTGTCTGACTCTGAAGTTGGTTGTCCTTGGTGTAACGTCGTCTCATCCCATTTTGAGATCGACTGCACTTCTCCTGCAGATCCTAGACTTTTAACCATCATGTACATACAGCGTTCAGGTGATCATGAGCACTTTATGACTGGATGGTGTACATACTATGGGTTGGTCATGCAAGTTGCCTGCGAGGAACATTATTGGACGTTACATAATGCAACGTCCTATGACCGCCGACCGGATCAATTGGTTTCAATTGTGCATGCCATATTATTCGATATAGCCCTGAGCAACCTCCCCTGGACCTACTACGAGGTGGGAGCCGTTGCATTAAGGTCAGTATAACATGAGTATTTCGCGGATCAAGATATATTTGTACTCTCACGATGTGGAATGATTTGTATGGAACGATTGTCTTCATCTGCATAGTGGAAACTTGGCGTGATTGCTGTTCTTGAACTTACGGATCGATTCTTTAACCAGCAGCAGCTATAAAGCGCGTGAGCGCAGAAACTGACAAACAACCAACACAAAAACAAACCCGCACCTGGCTTTAAAATATCGCACTTTTGAAGGTAAGGTCCACTCACCTCACCGACACGTAGATCCTACTCATGACACTGATGGTCTAGATGAATTTCTTGACGATCATTCTCCTTGCATTTACGGCTGTTAGTCCTCTGAGTGCACGAGCAATGCCTAGCTCCGAGGCCTCATGCGTTTGGCAAGCGTGTGGGGTTGACAGCACGTGCACGGAATCGGGTTTAGTGAGCATCAGGACATGCGAGAAGAATGGTGTCGTGATGGATCAGCTGTGTTGCAAGTACTAGCTGGTGTCAGGAATGCATTGTAACACAAATGAGGGGCCCGGGTATGTCAGCGATGTCACTCTTTATCAGAACATGTACTGACCACAAAATAGAGGCGAAAAAAATTCTGCTCACACGCTGAACTACGATAAAGCATCCCAAAAGATTCTCGTCTCGCAGATTGCCTGTAGTAGCATCCTCAGTCGGCCTTGTAAAGACTTTTCTGTCTCGCACTTGTCAACTATCGCCAAGAAATTAGACTTGTTCTTGATAACCAACTGTATAGACTTGGTACAGACCTTATGATCGTTTCAGGAAGGACGCCACTCGACTGAAAGTTTGAAGATAACGAGAGCGTTATATCGCAATGGCAGTCGCATATTTCCCGATAGACTCAGACGGAGTATGTTGACGGCTTTGTATGACCATAGGCTTCGTCTACAGGCATTGAGGAAAGGTGTTTAATAAGATGAGGGGAAATGGGTCGTTCGCCCCCTCAGAAGCTTCACCCAATAAAGGTCATAGATCCGGCTCACCAAGCATGATGCGGAGTCGCTTTTACGTTCTCCTAGTACTGCCTGACAACGCAGAGAAGTAGCTTTAGCTATGCATGTCAGATAGTCTTGATAATGAAGCGGCAGTCGCAGGAGAAGTAGAAGAAGGAGCCACTGCCTGTACTGGGAATGTGAGTTGGGAGAGGATGTATTTAGATGTGAGGAAGGGGAGGTAATGGTGTGTGAGATCTAGAGAGAAGTACTTGGTGTTTGCGTAGCCCGCGGGAGACCCACATGATGCGTAGTCTTTGAATTTGAAATTGTTCATCACGGAGGGAAGCGGGTTCGTTCCCGAGGTGGCCCCATGAGTAATACCGTCAGTTCAATCGGACTCGGTAGAATCGTTCGGCTTCTTCTGCGTGCATCGCTTCCGGCGGTTTGCATTTTTTTTGCAATACTGCCTTGCGGAATACACTGGATTTTACTCTTGCTTTTGTGTGCTAATGTGAGTGACGTCAGCCTCTGTGTAGCTTTTGCTGACGTAATGTCAACTTCAATGATGCTGTACAGTATTTTTCAGTTGGTTCTTGACCAGTGTCCGGTCGACCATCCTGGCCACGCAGCGGCTCTCATCGACCTCGGGTGGGCATGCCTTCGAGGTTATATTCGAAAGGATATTCAACATTGATATTATCACTTCGCTCTTCCGCAAAGCCCTTGCATTGCGTCCGCAGGGCCATTCCGATCACACACTATCTCTCGATCGTCTCATTTTCGCATTGATCTGGTGCTACAGCAAGGAGCAATCCGCCGCCTACATTCAGGAATCCGCGCAGCTATGCTGCAAGCGACTGCCCCTCTGCCCAGAGGGTACCTGCCTTTGTAGCATCGGCGTAGATGGCGCGGTGAAATATGTGATCAGTTTATGCAGTAATCTTCCCATCGACGGATCTGACGCAGGCATCCACCTTCAACGAGTCGTGCTCGAGCTCAGTCCTATGGGCCATGAATTCCATCCAAGAGCACTTGACCAGCTAGCACAGGCAGTTGAGGCATACTTTGACCAGCATGGCAGCATTTGATGATCTAGAAGAGAGCGTATGTGAATCGAATTCAAAGAACTGCTGACTTTAGGAACTGCTCAAACATGTTCAAACATAGACATGAGTAGAGTAAAGGGGTTCAAACGTTCAAGTTGTACATGTGCGGGAATTTCCACCACGTTGGATTCAGAGTCTACAGACGTGGCAGACTAAAGAAGCATAAGAAAGCGCTTCCAAAACAACTTTAGAGGAGAAGCCAGGATCTTAGTAAAGCTGGCCAGTTGTGCGTTCCAGATCCGACTGTGTGGCAGTAGAACGTCTCGACCATTGTCATGTATTATGATCTCGGCCATAGCGAATCATGACGACGTGATCCTCTCTGAATTCCATCGACACGCTAGCCGCTAGAACAGGTATACCGGGAAGGAAGTAGACATGGAGACGAAGATGCGACGGTGAGCCATAATTTTGTTTGATGAGGGACGATACCTGTCTGACGCTGGTTGTCCTTACTGTAACGTCATCTCACCCCATTTTGAGATCGACTTCACTTCACCTGCAGATCCTAGATCTCCGATCATCTTGTATATACAACGCACATCCAGGTGGTCACGAGTGTTTTGTGACTACAGTTGCGGACAAATAACCGTTCTGGGCAAACAAGGTGGTAATCGGTTGACTGCCTCGATCGCTGTGGTTGGAAATGTGGAACTTGAAAACGAGGTGTAGACAGGATCATGCGCCCGGGCACAAAGTAATTCACTGCGAACAAAGTGGTTAGGTTTGAGTGGAATTCATTTAGGCACTCAATATGGCCCGGGTTTGAGCAAGTCGGGGACTGGCGCGGGCGCCGCTACGATGTACCTACATAATGTGAGATGACTCGGAGGTTGTCAGATTATTGGACATTAATACATAATACAAAGGACTTTCCTGTAACCGGATCAAATTGATTGGCTTCAATCATACACAGCAGCTATATTATTTGATGTAGCCCTGACGGGCCTCCCCTAGACCTACTACGAGGTGGGAACCAGTGCATTAAGTCGGTGTAACTAGAGTATGTAATATGTAAGAATCAAGAGATTCAGGCCGCATCTCACGATGTGGAGTGGTTTATATGGAACGATTGTCTTCGTCCGCCTAGGGAAGACCAGACGTAATTGCTATTTCAAACTTGTGGATTAATACTTGAACCAGTAGCAGCTATAATGCGCGCGAGTACAAAACTGACGAACTACCAACAAAAAACAAACCCGCACCTTGCTTTAAAATCAAGCACTTTTGACGGTAAGGATCACCTCACCAACCTGTAGATCCAACTTATGACACTGATGGTCTAGATGAATTTCTTGATGATCATTGTCCTGGCACATACGGCTGTTAGTCCTCTTAGTGTACGAGCAATGCCCACATGCACTTGGAAATTGTGTGGGAGTATAAACCAGTCGGCTAAATTCTGTTGTGAGTAGGAGCTATAGCTAGTGTCTGGAAAGCATTGTAATGCAAATGAGGGGGTTGTGTAAGTCAGTGATAAACTCTTTATCAGAACACGTACTGACCGCAAAATAGAGGCGAAAACAGTTCTGCTCACACGTTGAGCGATATAGTATTCCCAAAAGATTCCTACTGTGGTAGCATCTTTAGTCATCGTAAAAACTTTTCTGTCTCGCACTGGTCAACTATCGTCGTAAAATCAAACTCATTTTTGATAACTGACTGGTGTATTATGGTGATTCGTCGAGGGTTGAGGTATTACTACGGTATCGAGGGGGGGACAGGCACTTATGAAACAGAAATGTTTACACGAACATGGCTCATAGGACGTAATTCTGTGTTGAGATCCAAAGAAATACCAAAAATTGTCGTCGTCGTTCCAACCTTTGATGCCCGTTGAGCACTCCAGTGTATCTGCGGCAGATACGATCATAATGATGAGCGAAGTGGATTTCGTGGCTGAAACTTGATGGTGTTTTGTGAGTCAAACATTAGTACCGTAGCTTTTAACTTTTATACACAAGAAATCTACGTGTGCTTGCATCGCTGGATGCTCTGTAATGCAGCAGATGCCGGCCAATGCTCCGTGGGTGCATATGATACATTCATGTGCGCAAGTACCAGTGCATCTGTGATATACAGTGCTCAACAAAACGTTAGCTCACTCCGAAGCAAAGTATTTAAACGCATGAAAGATCAACGTACAGGTTCTCGCAGCACCAACTACTTTAAAAGCCACATGCATGTCCCATTCGACCAGGTTAAAGGGACGTGTTATCCAGGACCAGGGTGATCTCTTGCACTGGGCGTGATTTGAAGGACTGAAGGCTCTATAAAGTCACCTCCGAATCACGCATTTCGCAATTGCAGGCGGCGCCGTATCCGACCACCATGAAGTCCGTTCAAGGGTGGTTTAGGGCCGGCTGTGTCGCGTTGATGATGTAATCCAAGACCACAACAATCATGTTATTATTATTCGTCGCGGTCCACAACAGAATAAACCACCTTCCACCTTTTTTTGTTCTATTTAACAGAGGACCATGTCTTCAAGTCCATCACCGTTGTCTCCCGTAGCGTTTGCAATGTCTTCAGCTCCAGCGAGCACAGCTGCATCATCACCTCCACCCAGTGAAGAAGGGCAATTAAATAGAGCACACAAGAGTACGCGCGAGGTGGGTCAAACCCATAATACAGTGCGCTGTTTTCTGTACTGACTTTTTTGTGGGACAGTCCTCAGAGATGGTAGAATCAATAGAAGACGAGGTAGAAGTGTCCCCATCCCTCGTTCGAACACGTCCTGACGCATCTAACCTAGGAATTCCAAGAACGCTTCTCCCGCCTCGAACGACTCCTCGAAAAGTCCTTCACGTATTCCAAATTACTAGGAGCGCAGATGGACAAGGAAAAGCGTGCATGCGCACTCCGAGCCGCCATGCAAGCTGCCGCGCCCTCAAAATCGGAGTCTTCAAGAAGGCGCCTTCCGAGACGTGGAAAGAAGCGCGTACGCGTAGAGGAGTCTGATGAGGAGGAGGCGCCTCCTGTGAAACAAGAGATTCAGGAACCTCCTACATCTGAAGGGGAGAATGGTCAGCGCCCGAAGTTCCCTCAGCCTGCATTAGTCACAGGGACAACGTTAAAGGATTATCAACTGGAAGGAGTGGAATGGATGGTGAGTTTGGATAAGAATGGGGTTTCTGGTATCCTTGGTAAGCCCTCGACCTCTAATAGTCGCGTTCGAGATTTACAAGTTTATGGTAGCGGATGAGATGGGTCTAGGCAAGGTAATGTGACTGATTTTCATTCTTTTGAATTACCGCTAACGAATGTCCTCAGACCTTGCAAACGATCGCATTCAATGCACACCTACGCGGCCTCGGTCATTACCAACCTTTCCTTATTGTCTGCCCTTTGAGCGTCCTGCATAACTGGATAGAGGAATTCCACAAATTTGCGCCTACTGTAAGCCTTCTACCCATACATATCTTCTCTCTAATATCGACCATCTCTTTAGATACCCGTTTGCATGTATCACGGTACTCCAGCTGAGCGTGCTGACCTTCGCCGGACCATCATGCGAGCACCGGACGCTTCAGAAGAAGTTACGATCAAGACGCAACACAAACGAAAGGGAAAGGGGACGAAAGCACCGGCCCGTAAAGCTCCTACGCCGAAGCGTAAAATAAATGGCAGACTCACTAAGAGGCGCAAGATAGATGCGGATGATGAGGACAACTTACAGGCAGACGATGTCGACGAAGATACCTCAGACGTTGAAGACGACGTCCATATACCCACTACTAGCGATACCCTCCCTCCACAGACTCTTGCTTCTTTCCCGGTCATCGTCACCACCTACGAAATGATTCTCAAAGACCGTGTACATCTTGCCACTTATAATTGGGGTTATATCGTCGTAGATGAGGGCCATAGGTTGAAAAATCTCGACTGCAAGCTCATGCAAGAGATTAAGAAATACCCGAGCGCAGGTCGGATGATTCTTACTGGAACACCACTACATGTAAGGTTCTTTCAGCATGCCAACGTCTCGCTCACTCGCGTTCTGCAGAATAATTTGGCAGAGTTGTGGTCTTTGCTGAACTTTATACTACCTGATATTTTTGATGATCTGGATACGTTCCAGGAATGGTTCGTGCTCTTTTTCTCGCATCGTTAGTGCTTGGGCCCACAGGAAATTTAGGTTCAACCTCGGAACCATGCAATCTCGCCTCTCTGAAGACCAATCATCTCAATTGATTGGCACCCTTCATGGCATCTTGAAACCTTTCCTCCTTCGACGACTGAAGGCGGACGTCGAGGGCCTCCCACCAAAGAAGGAATATGTTCTGTACGCTCCCCTAAGCATGGGCCAACGCGACTTGTACGATAACATCCTGGATGGGTCGTTACGAAACTTCCTCCTTGGCGTCTCCAAAGAAGTGGCAGTCGAGAAGGTCGCCGAGGTCGATGTGGATGCGCCGATGCAGCTTCGGAAGCAGAAAAAGAGACAATACAACCTTGACGGTGATGATGATAAATACTTTGAGATGCTCGAGGACGGTGAAGTGGTCAAGGCTAAAGGGCCAAAGGAAGATGTCTCTGAGCTGGGAAAACAGCACCAGCAGCTTGCGACTCGTTGGTCTTTTATTTTTTATTGGCTTCTTCTGACTGACTGTCGCATCTAGGGAAGCAAATTAATAATATGAAACTTCAGAACGCCGTCATGCAGCTACGCAAAGTATGCTCGCATCCGTTTTTGTTCAACTGGCCGGTCATACCAGGGACTCAAGAGCTCGTGCTCGATGACCAGCTGGTAAACGCGAGCGGAAAGATGATGATCCTCGATCGTCTACTAGACGAACTATTTCGCAGAAAACACAAGGTCTTGCTCTTCAGCCAATTTACCACCATGTTAGACGTCCTCGAGGTTCGTCCGTCCGTTTAGTTATTTATTTGTTCGTCGTGCTCAAGCCCTCGGTACAGGACTGGGCTACAGAATTGAAGGGCTGGTCGATATGTCGCATCGACGGATCAACAGCGCCTCTGGACCGTCGCGAACAGATGAACAAGTTCCAGCAAGGAGGCGACTCTCATGATGCTCCGAAGTTGTTCCTCCTTAGCACTCGCGCAGGCGGCCTAGGCATCAATTTGACAGCTGCCGACACGGTGATCTTTTACGATCAGGATTGGAACCCGCAGATGGATATTCAAGCTCAAGACCGAGCGCATCGTATCGGCCAGACAAAACCCGTTTTAGTGTTCCGACTTGTTACGGCGCATACTATTGAGACGAGGATCATGCATCGTGCGACGGAGAAGAGGAAACTTGAGGCGCTGGTTATAGCCAAGGGTAGGTCCCAGTCCAGACAGCAGTTTTGTGGTTCTGCCGCTCACACAACTGCTCTCGCAGGCAAATTTAAACTCCCCGGACAATCAGGAGGACCCCCAAAATCAAACGCACAATCAATCACGGAGCTCACAGCTGATCTCTTAAAGCTAGAAGGCGAACAGATCGACGTGGTGACGAATACCTCTGCGGAGGGTAAAAAGCGGGTATTGTCAGACGAAGACCTCGACATGTTACTTGACCGGAGTGAAGCTGTGTTTACGAATAGGAAGAAGGGATGGAAGAGTGAGGAAGATGGGGCTGGGAAGCGTGCGGCATTTGCTGTATATGAGGCGCCTGTGCATCAGGGGAATGAGCTGGTGGCGAAGATTATGGGGGAGGATGTTTCTGAGTGAGTGTTTAGCTGGGTGGTGGTTGAGGATATGCAAATATTGTGCATTTGGATTACTACGGTTGATAATTGCGCTGTAAGGCTGTACATGGACGCTTAACTCGTCGTAGATCATCGATCATCAATTAAATGCTTGTTTCGTGTATAATCTATAATGATATCATGGGCAATGCCCCCACCTGCGGCTTATTCAAGACAGGTGAAACACTGTCTTTTACACTCGTTTTGCATCCCACCGGCGAACCTCCGAAGCGTTATTTTTGTGCGCTGAGCAGTTGATAGTGTATGTTCGGACAGCGTGATCCAAACCACAACTGGAAGACTGATAGGATTGCCTACAATCAATCGAAATTATCTTGCTCATTGATCAGCGTCTTTGGTGAGATCGTGTAGCTTGGACATAGTCAAGGTCAGGAAGAGATCGCTTAGCAGTAAGGTCTCGGGCGTGCCGGAGGACGTTATATCGTGCTTTGATTTCCGCAAGTATGTATTTTGTTTCTGTTTCTTTGACGTGTTTTTTTAAATCGAATTAGATCTGGGATAGAGTAAAGTTAAGTCGGGTGATACCAGTGAGTTGGTTGTCGTGAAAGACGCTGAAAATAGTGAAGGGCTTCGTTTCTGCTTGGTTGCGTTTCTTCTGCTGGGTGGCCTGATTTTTTACAGTGAGTGACGCGGACGTCAAAGAGAAAGACCTTCATGTGAGTCTTATCCGGAATCCGGATGTCGAGATACCAAGTAACTTGGGTTGTGGGTACTACGGCGACTCGGAAACTGGGAGCAAAAACAAAACAAAAGATCTCCCGCTCCCTGAAGTACACCCAGCGAGTGTCTGTCGCATCGAACTACACAGTACTGCTAGTTGACATGTGCACGCGCTCCTGGAAAATCATTCGGCGAGGCCCCAGCACAAAGAACTGCATAAACAAGAGAAATTGACTGAGACCAGAATAAACCTGAGATTCTGAGGAATACGGGTCCTACGAAAATGACGAACCGTGATGCACCAACCAGTGCCCAGCACGGATCCCCACTGCGTGCACATTCAGACACGATTGTCTCGTTGGCCATCTCGCCTGACGGCGAGCTAATATCCAGCGCGTCCGTTGACGGCATCGCTAGGCTGTAGAGCGCGACCATCCGCAAACCTTTCGGTCATGTGCTCCAGCATGCCAAAACAAAACTGGCCGTTTGGCGAGAAGGCTACTGTGGATACTTGTCGCCACCGGCGGCCGAGAAAGCATGAAATTTCTGTGGGATATCTCCCTGGAGATCATCTCCACGAACGCAATCATTAATATGTCACTGCACTCTTTGAATAAAATTATGCCGCGGACTCCCGGAGCGTGAGCTGGCATCTGTTTCATGGCCAAGCATGCAGTAATGGCAAACACAGGTAACCCCTATGCTGCTTGTGCATAAAAGCCAGCGTACTGACTTTGGACTCAGAAAACGCCATCAAGTTTCAGCAATGAAATTCACTTCACTCACCACCACGATCATTTCTGCTGCAGCGATTGCCGGCGTAGCTATCGCATCCGAGCTGGCGACAACACCCCTAGGCTCACCATGCTACCCCCCTGGTGAGCACTTTGCGATGCAGCCCTTAGACAGCATGCTTACGGCTATCCGCAGATACATTGGAGTGCTCAACAGGCATCTTGGGTTGGAACGACAACAACGATTTCGCATATTACTGTGGATCTGATAACACAATTACATCCTACACGGCGTGTTCGTGTAAAGATTGCTGTGCCCTGAATGCCAGTAAGGGCACCGCCACTTGTTGAGCCTAGGTGAGCTTGTCCGCCTTTCGGGTCCGAGTGTTGATATATCGTTGATGTGCTGGCTTAGTGCTCATGAGACGTGCAAGAGGGCGTGAAGGAGTGCTGTAACGTCATGTCAATAATATGGGATGAAATTTGGTGTGCGAGGACGCGTCGTTGGGCTTCATCTTTGCTAAATCATGAGGTACCCTCCAGATCACTAATCAAAGCACCTTGGAAGTGACGATTAGGATTCTTGGCCGCACGTGCCAAAACAGTAGTTTAGGGCCGGGTCTCACGCGTTTTGATAGTGTCACTTCTGTTCTGACTTTCATACTTGCATACACCGGCTCAAATATTGACTCGCTGCCAGACGCTAATTAATTATGCTGTTGGAAAATATCGACATCGTGCACGTGTACAGCATTGGAATTTGGACACTTATCATACTCGCAAGTACTTAGGCTCGTGTCACACGAGTCGTGTGTCTTCTGTCAGGCAGATATCTAGTAAGTCTTTACACTCTGTACGTTTCCTGAAAAGATCTCACTGTTCAAAGCTAAATAAGTGCAGGAAAAATAACAGCAGTACCAGTAGTACCAGTAGGAAGCTTAAGATGTATCAAACGCCGCTGTCTTTTCCCCACATTGTTCGTCGCCAATGATTACAAGCCATTACTATCATGACTCCACCTCTTCAATGTCTTCACCTTTCAGTTACCGTCAACTGGATAGAACTCCTAAGCCTGGTTGTTATAGAAGTTGACGGGAGGGGAGAGGATAATCTGCGTCCTTGAGTATGTACAATTTGTCCAGTTCATCAGACGAGCTTACCTGGATCAAGCTCTCTCCATTTGCCAGCACCAGCTGCCAGACGAGCTCAGAGTTATATACCTGAATCCTGAGAGCGTTGTTTGAGCCTGAATACAAACGACTGAAAAAGGATACTTACTCATATTTTCCATCTTTCCTCTCTTTGGAGTTTGAAAGTGGTTTTGATGGAGGTTCCTATGATCCCAGCGCCCGTGATTTTTCTGTTATTAATTTCAACTTCAAGCTAAAGCAGGTGATGTACTCACAATTTCTTCATCAGAGATTCCAGCGTAACCGTTGGACGCGAGGTCGACCAACTGCACCAGACCCTACCAACCGGCACGTTCTGGCTGCCTGTGTTATAGATGATGACAGGAGCGCCGTCAGTAACATTGCCTCCCCCTCAGATCGATATCTTGGTTGGCATACTGGATGTTGTTGATCACGTATGTACCCAGAACTGGGATAGTCATGGTTGTAACATAATTCAAAAGGTGTGGAGATTCGTTCCCTTGTGTCCTTTGCACCTTCTAATGTCATGTCAAGTTCGTTTTGTGGGTCACCTCACAAGAGGCCAGAAGGACCACCATCGCGGTATAAACCCCTCCCTCCACGTCGCACACATTGAGCCCAGAGAAGGGATTCCTGGGTCCTTACGAAGATTGTATCGAGGTACGAGAATGAATCTATTCCCTCTATTCCTGGATCCAAGTGTGACGGTGAGTAACTTGGATCCTTGGTACGAGTGTATGGGAGATTGACTGACTTGGTTAGGCTTCTTCTTTGAACGGGGGCGATCCTCCCGCCGACGACTTTTACGCGAGCGTCACGAGGGCAATGTTTGGTGAGACTTGTGTGGCATAGTGTTGATTCGATCGGGAAGTAGTATCGAAGAAATGGTATGCAGAAAGACTGATCCCCGGGAGCGCGCATTGTTGCACTCCATATTGAGGTAGTCAGCATGCCAGGTCTATGATCTTATAGCGTAGTTCAAGGTATGTGTATGAAACTGCATTGAAATATTGATGTCTATTCTAAGGTGCCGTGTCTTGTGCTACTAGAAGGCATAACTCCAATTTCACGACCCAATATGGTCACTTTCTCGATGGGGGAACAGAATCGTTGATCCGGGAGTGTATTTGCATGTGGGGCACACTCGCGAAACAGAACGCAGAGGATTGTCTGACCACTGAACGCGAGTTGGCTGCTTGCGTGGACCCTGCGATAACCGATTATACAAAACGACGTGTAGGGGTCACGTGATTGTATTCGCTATACCAGACAGCACTATAATGCAAGCTCGAACTCGTAAAGCACCACAACCCTCCATAACCCCATAAATATCAATCACCGCACCTCACTGCACTACACAGTGGCCTACAGATCAGACGGCCTACTGCCCTTGGAGTACTTGCAAACGCCTTGGATATCGGAGTGAGTCACTCGGGATAGTCATCGCCTTGTCGAATTGATATTCAGATCCTGCAATACACTAGGAAACCGGACGGTGGTAAGTACACTGATTATGTCACCTGCTGCATTAACGGGCTTAGTACAAGATAGTGGTAATCACTGACTATGGCCCATCAAATGGTCCAAGAACTAACAAGCCAAGTAAACATCGCATTTTTTGACTGGTGAGAAAACCATTCTAATAGTTTTAAAGCACAAGAGCAGAAGAATATCAGCACAAAGGAAGCCGTTCGCACAGTTAAGTTCAGGCTCATGTGGCCTGAATGGAATAACGCTCGCTGTTGGTTGGTCCTCAAAGGTTCATGCGTGGTGACAAGGGGGCTAACTGTTTCGTTCCAGCGATGGCACATTGATTTATGCGAACCCTTGCAAGACAGGCACGGCACGACTCAATTAGCAATCTCACACATGCCTCCGCTATATCCGCCTGCTTAATGCTGTGGCTTGTCGGGTTTCAGGTGGGGGTGGCCCTCCAGGATATTCAAATTTGACTTCCATCCAAATCGTTGAGCCGAAGAAGACTTGAATCGTGATGATATACTGGTGACGAAGGCAACGAAGTTCTATATTGGCGTAACCGTGCCATTCAGCGCTGCTTTTTATAAAATTTCCCCGAAGTGCGGAGTATAACATCAGCACTCTTAGCGAGAGCAGTATAAATTCAATGCTGTTGAGTTGAAAAGGCCTCAGAGACAAACGGCTCGTTTGCACACGGTGAGTGGCCCTCTTGCGCTACACTATGCATATTTCACTGAATCAACTTATAGCTCTTACGGGACTTGCCACAGCAACTTCGCACACATTGCACGCTCAAGCTTTTGTTGGTGTGTGGTTTCCTAGCACGGACACATCACAGGCTGAAGCATAGTTATACTAGACACAATGAAGCTCGTTCACATCGCTTACCTCACCATCCTTGCCGCTGCCACTGGGGTGAAGGCAGCCAGACTTTCTTCCCGCCTCACAATAACTTGCGAAAATGAATGCTACTCTGCCGAACCTTCGACCTGCCCGGCAGGGATGTCGCCTGACCTTCTGGGTTCATGCTGGACCTGCTGTGGCGTCAGTGGCTGATGCCTGAATCATTGAAGATACTGATAATGTTTGTGTCTATGAATATACTTGTACCACATAAGTTGACTTTTCTTTCCAGCTCGTTCGAGTGACACTACTAGGCCACTGCCACTCGAGTCATGAGCTGGACGTTGGCGATTTGTTTTTGGTATTTCTGGATTAAGTTTCTCTGGGTGCTGGGAGTAAGGCAGAGATAAGTAGGTTGTGATTAGGGACATAAATTTAGCCCATTTCAAAGTGAAGTTCCGTGTATCAATAAATGATCAACACACAGGTCTAGAGAATTCTACCTACAATCGTGTGCTTGATGGTGGTCACCGGAGAAGAGTTGACCTTCGTCTTTTAACGCCGCCTTCTAGTGGAGTGGTCGTGGAGACAATGGAGAATTGTGCGATCTGTGGGCTTCCATAGAACGCACTGAGCGAAGCAAACCCCGTTCATCTAGAATCTAGATTTGAACACCTCAGCTTGAAAGACTCTCTTCCAGTTGCAGGACACGCATCGTACTTTCTAGCGTGAGCGCCGTGATTTGTATATTGTTATGCTATGGCCCTCATCTACAACAATATGACCCCAATTATAAGTGGCAAGATGTACACGGTCTTTGAGAATCATTTCGTAGGTGGTGACGATGACCGGGAAAGAAGCAAGAGTATGTGGAGGGAGGGTATCGCTGGTAGTGGGTATATGGACGTCGTCCAAGTCTTCAACGTTCGAGGTATCTTCATCGTCGTCATCTGCCTGTAATTAAGTTGTTGTCCTCATCATCCGCATCTATCTTGCACCTGTCTGCCATTTATTTTACGCTTCGGCGTAGGAGCTTTACGGGCCGGTGCTTTCGTCCCCTTTCCCTTTCGTTGGTGTTGCGTCTTGATCGCGACTTCCTCTGAAGCGTACGGTGCTCGCATAATGGTCCGGCGAAGGTCAGCACGCTCAGCTGGAGTACCGTGATACATGCAAACGTGTATCTAAAGAGATGGTCGATATTAGAGAGAAGATCATATGTAGCGGTAGAAGTTGTGGAATTCTTCTATCCAATTGTGAACAAAAACTGCTTACTAAATGGTAATCCAGAATAGTACGGCGGCGAGTGTGATGCCCCCTGCCAAAAACCCCGCCGAAATTTAAGAGGAACTTGAAAAAAAGGTGCGTTTCTGCTGGATTCTTTGTACCCTTTTTTGTATATTTTGGTCTGCAGATCCAAGTTCAATCTGGGGCGTGGATATGACTCGGGGAGGCATTCAACGGAATGACACTGAGTCCCTCATGGACGAGGAGGTCTCACAGTTCCTCGTTCAAGACCTTTGCTGGGAGGACAATCTTCTCGTCAGGCAGGCGGACAGCTTCATCCCGTCCTCGGATCGTCAGGATATGATCGATTGGTGGGCTAAGGGAGGTGATATACTCAGGCCTCAGGGTCCCGGCCAGTATGAATGGACAGCTAAGTCAAAGGCTCCCGAGCCTTTGAAACGTACAACTTGGGCTGAGTTACCCGGGATAAAGGCCAATAAGACTTATGAAGCTCGTGTCGCCGAATTCTTCAATGAAGTGAGTGAGAAAGTACTACTTTGAGATGGACTTAATCAAACCCTTGAATTCAGATCACAGATTTGACCATTGGCTTCAAAGACGACAGAGCATTCGCCGAAGACAACAAACTCCGCCGCAGATGGAAGGCGTTCAATAGGGAACAAGTCGAAAAGATGCGCAATCCTGATATCCTCCTGATTGAGCCCGGAACTGGCCCTACCAAATGGGCCGATGTCTTTTCCGCTATTGAGGTGAAGTGGAGTGACCACCTCTTTCAGAAGGCCATTGGGCAGTTGGGCGATATTGCGGCTTTGGTTTTTCACCACCAAACAGATCGCCAATGGTTCCCTTGTCTCAGCTTGTGCGGACCATTCCTTCGTATGTCTGTCTTCACCCGTGGTGGAAGCCTTCATACGGTTCCGCTCGATCTACATAAAGATGTCGCCAACTTCACCAGGGTTTTGAATTACTTTACGCTGGCAGAACCCGGATGGCTTGGCTATGATTGCCGCATCTTCACGATCCAGGGTCAATGTTGGGATCCAGACGCAAAGCCTGTGAAAAAGTACGAATCCATTGGCAAACTTTTCATGTCAACAGGTGCGTTTCATCTGCACATTCATTATTGCAATCTCTTGACGCAATTGATGCTAGGCCTCTATGGCAAAGGTACACGTGTCTTTGCTACCAAAGAGATGTACACCATGACCCCTAAGCATGCGGTGATTAAGGACTGTTGGGATCCCTCTGAGACTGTCAGCGATGAGCTCGTGCATAAGAAACTGGAAGATCCCAACCGCGACCGAGGCATGATAGTCGGAGGGCATGGTCTGGTTGACGATCACCCTGAACGGGAGTTTGCTACACGATACGACAATTGCCATTCCTACACTGATCCTTGGGACGATGTTACGTTCCTGCGAGGAATAACCATTATGGAGAAATCTATGAGGCCACGAGACGTCCTATGCAAGGACACCACGTCAGCGCCTCCTGAATCCATCCAATCCATTTCCGCAGCCATGGGACATTCCTGGGACAAGCCAGACGTGCCAATGCTTGATGACAGACACCGGCACCGCACATTGTTTAAAACTTGTGGGGTGGATATTCTGTGGTTTGGAACTGCACGCGAATTGTTCTATGCGCTGGCCGGTGCGGTGGTCGGTGAGCGATCTTTCGTTTCATCTTACAGTTTTTTCTAATGTTTTCGTTAGGTCATCAAAATGCATATCAAAAACGCGATATTTTGCATGGGGATATCAGTGATGGCAACACGTTGATGCTTGTTAAACATATCAGCGAGGAATCTGCTGTTCCTTCACCTCCTGACAATCCATCTGTGGATTGGACCCCTCTGAGGCACGGAATGATGTCTGATTGGGGATCTGCAGCAGACTGCGGAGATGAGGAAGACAAGGAACGCTTGCGACGTACTGTAAGTTCTCAAGTTTCGCCTACTGGTACATGAGGGCATTGACTCAAATAACGCAGGGAACGCTTCCTTTCAAGTCGAATCAGTCGCTAAAGGGGGAGCCAGTGGAATATCATCATGACCTGCAATCCTACTTTTGGTTGGCCTACCTCATTACTTGCAACTGTGCCGGTCCCTTCAACATGCGTCGAGACTGGGACGAGGAGATGACGAGATCTGGGTCAAGGGGACTTATTACGTCCTCTCTCATCACCAACCTCGCCGAGATCAAAACACAAGGCGGAGACTGGAAGAAGGTCGCTACTGATCACGCTCTCCATTCTAAAAGCCCCTCTGCCGGTCCCGAGGCCTCTGCTGCTATCCCTGTCAACTATACACTATCTTGGGTCCGTCCTGGAGTGCATGCACTCGCTCCAGAGGATATCGTGAACCAGAGAGAACGCACGACAGACTTTGACTTCATAAACCTCATGACACCATACTTCGCACGCCATCAGGTCATACGAGATGAAATGCTACATTTGCATACTCTCTTTTTCGGTCCCATGAAGCAGTTTTCAGATGGCTATCACCGCCGTTGTCCTCCGAATCCTGCTCAGCCAGTAACACACTATCAAATACTTTCAATCTTTCGCCGCATCCGTGACGAAATAAGTCCTACAAAGGACACCTACCCTGATGAGAAATTTCGTCTTAACGCCCGTGATCGGTATCGCCACTCTCTTAAATCGGGAAATCGTATGCCATTATTGGCGGAAGAAGAAGAGAAAATGCCCAAAGTCGAAAGCAATAAGAGAACCTCGGAATCGGGTGACTTATTGGCTGGTCCCTCCAAGCGCAAGAGGAGTGAATGAGGCCCCAGAACCGGCCCCTAAGTCAAGTGGATTTGATCTTATCTGTTTTACGTTTTTTCTCCCAACTAGCTGCTGGCGGTTTGAAGTTTCTGATTTCCTGGACTCTACCTCTTTTTTTGTCGATTGCGTGCGGTACAACTCCACTTGCGGCCCAAAAACCTCTTGACGTATACCTCCGGTTTTCTCTAAATGTCCGTGGATCCAAGTTAACTTGTCATGGAAGGCGCAAGTCAGACAAGACAAGTGGCAAGACATTAAAACGAGCGCAGACGGTGGACGAGATCATCCTTTGGTCTTTGAACGCCGGGAGTTAGTGGAGTGGTCGTGAAGGCAATGGAGAATTGTAATATCTGTGGGCTTCCATAGAGCGCCCTGAGCGAAGTAAAACTCATTCAGCTAGAATCTAGATTTGAACGCCTCAACTTCCAGCACGACAAGCGCTAAGCAACTAATATCGTGACGAACCTGTCAACGGCATAGACATTATGCACAGCCAAGCCTAGCGATTACGCACACAACTTGGACCTGAACGTTGAACGTTTGGTCTCGGCCTAGATCAAATTGAGGTGCGTGCTGGCTGCTGGCACCTGCATTCAAATTCCACAGAGTTGACTCGGATATGTAGTACTACCCTGCAGGTGTATCACATAGATTACAGTTCGCTGTCATCAAAGCCAAGCTCGGATGGTGCTCGTGTTCCTTTATCCACAGACGAAAATCAACATATGTCAGAATAATACATCTCGTCGATGAGCCCTCTGCAGGCATCGCACTTGGATTGGGGACCGCAAATATTCTAGGACGCGTGTATAGTGCACAGCTCCAGCTCGCAGACTTGTATATCCCGTAGTCGTTCTCGATATTGGAGGTCAGTCTGCTTTGCTTCCATTCTCAGATGTCTCCCACGATCGTGAAGCTCACGCACTCCCGACTCGAGGGCTTCGATGTAGATCTTATCCTCGGGCTCGAGTCTCGACGTGCTGAAGGCGCATCTTCCTCTCTGAACACGAGCTCCCCGAGAAGGCACGGATGATCGATTCGGGAGTGGAAGACCCAAGTTACTCGTTAAGAAACTAAATATCTAAGTATTTGATCCTAGAGACTGTCTCGAACTCAAACATCTGAACATCTGAACAACTATTAAGATACGAAGATGAGACTCGGCTCCACAGTCGCAACATCACTTTAATGACGACGTGCGCGTCGCCTCCGAATAGCTTTCAGTTCAGCAAATCAGTTCCCGACCCCTATTCCAACTTTGCTGCATGCTAATTGATATCACGACTCAGACAACTCTAGTAGCTGCGTGTTGGTGCCCCTCATCTTTGTTGTCTCGAGTTCTTCTGGTCAAATGTATCTGAAATGCTTGACTGTAACGCGGATGTCCTGTGCACTGAACAGTGAACACCCCAACGCTTAGGCTTGCAGGCTTGAATGCGTCAGGCTCCGACTGGCTCTGAGATGCCATTATATCCTTCATATGTTCAAAACAAAGATGATCTTGGATATCCTCATCACAGGTTGCTCATTGATGTACGTTTGAAACATGCTTCTGCAAGCTGGGCCGTTGAGTTCACAGTTGAATCACAACCACTGGCCTGGTTACTAGTATTGCGAAAATCAAAAGATCATCCGGGTATCGCTTGGTATCACTCAGGCTTATCAAATCCCGTGACAAGCATATGCTATAGTTCGTAGCAACGATTGACCATGCTCCCACAATCCAAAGAATTGTATTGAGACGCGCATAGTCGGTGACTACGTCTGCTACATCACTGCAAATATGAAAATTGGGTGAATAAGTCATGTCCGAAGTTCATCCAACCGTACCAAATGAACTTGCGGGATGTGTCTGCCAGCATCATGGGAATGTGAAAATTGGGTGAATGCGCCTGTGACTGCACTCTTGGAGGACAAACCATGCCGTAGACTCTTAGAGCGTGAGCTGGCATATGTACCCAGCATACAGTGATGCAAACGCATGGGGATTTTTTGGCTGCCCTACACACTAATACTTGTGTATAAAAGCCAACGTACTGGACTCAGAAAACACCATCAAGTCATGAAATTCACGTCGCTCACCACTATTATCATATCTGCCGCGGCGATGGCTGGCATAGCTATCGCATCCAACGACGTGGTGATAACACCTATGAACCTATCCTGTGACAACCCTGGTGAGCACTTTTGCGACCTACGTGCAGACCTTAGACCGCGTGCTTACGGTTATCCACAGATGAAGCAGGGTGCTCATTAGGCATCAGAGGTTACAACAACGAAAACGATTTTGGGTACTTCTGTGGAGCTAATAGCAAAATTATATCCTATACGCCATGTGAATGTCACAAATGCTGTATGGTGGTTGACGAGGGGGAGGACTTCGTTTGCGAATGAGTTTTGCTCAACTACCCGGTGCTCGAGTGAGCCTCTTCCTCGTTGCCTTCAGAGTCCGAGTGCTGATGTGCTTTCACTAGTGCATTGGATTACGTGTCATGATACGCGCAAGAGGGCGTGAGGGAGTGCTGTAGTGTAGTGCCCATAATATGCCAACATTACGGTATGATGTTCTGTTCGTCAGTACAAACGAGTTTAGCTCGCTGTGCGATACTATCGGGCAGGGGGTCGAGCAAAAGGACGACCTGCAACAGCTACATCTGTTAGTAGAGCGACAAGGTCCTTGAAGAGCCCTAAGCACTCACTAGAGTCCGTCTCTCATGCGGATCGCACTAAACGCCGCCGAAACTACATCGGCAACCGCCGTAAGCTGCACAACTACGTCCAGCCTAGTAGACTTGAGGCATTGGGCAAGAGTTTGCTGGGGGCAAATGCGCTCAAATCCATGAGTTATGTGGCTAATGATTGAGTAAAGTTCCTCCCAACTGCTCGAGCCATCATTAGTTGCGTGAGGCGTTGCTGCTACAAATTGCAATAACATCTTCCCCTTCTCTACCCAATTGCAACAAACCCAGATAGTTACTTACATTAATAGCGTCTTGGGTAATGGGCATCGTATTTCTACTCGTAGTCGGTCCCAACATATTGATTTTCTGAATTGAAAAGCATGGTTACTTGCGAGCTGGCTACTAGGCTGCACCAACAATGCACAACAAAGTCCAATTGCAACCCGACGCCGCGTCATAACATCTGGCACCAAGCGCTCACGGCAACTTGTAGTCAGGTCTTCCTTCTACTATGATTGCACCAAAGCTCGATGCAAAGCAGACCACAGAGGTGGTCAGCCTGCCCATCATCAAAGCAGATGTGAAGGAACCACCTACTTTCATCCTCCTGCCCTCTGAATTACTAGTAGAAATCTTTCGTCATCTACTAGATTGTCGCTCTATCTTGCGTTGTTCTGCGGTATGCATGCCACACTACTCGTTTCGTGCAACCTTGAACTTGACTAATTTTCAGGTCTGCCACGAATTGAACAAGGTGATCGAGTCCTCTGTAGAACTCCAGTATCGTATCGAGCTTGCCCTCGATCGCATGGTTGATGGCCCTCATAGCACCGTCACTGTTGCAGAGCGTCTTGAACAGTTGCGAAATCTCCGTCGTGCGTGGACTTTGTTTGAGTGGAAAAAGGAGGTTCGGGTGCCCATGCCTGGTTTCTGCCAGGCATACGAGCTCGTAGGAGGCGTATTTGCAAAGACGTCGTCTTCTGGAGGCATTTACAATCATTCCGGTTCACGAAACTTCATATCCTCCTGGCTACCATCCTCATCGGATCCTGGACACACGTTGGTTCGGAGCGATATAGGGATCTCAACGAGAGATTTTGCCATCGATCCATCGCAAGATCTCATCGCTCTCGTCAAATCTGATGACGACTTGTGCGTCTTCATCGTGTTTCGCTTTGCGTCTCACAGATAACCGATTGTTGAGTGTAGCATAGGTGATTCTGGCTACATAGAGGTGTACATTCGCACAATCTCCTCCAACATCAAGCACCCCGAAGCGGCATCTCCTGTTTTGCGCACCCTCACCCCGTTCACGATGACCAGTGCATTCATACAGATCGTAGATGATGTGATTGGGATGATGTTTTGGATGGAGATTGAAAGCCCTCGCATCACGATCTGGAATTGGAAGACGGCGCAAATGCTTGTGGTAAGCGCTCGTTTATAAATACCCAGGCGCTCATAGCCTACATTGGCTTTGCAGGATCGCGACGGTGACGACTTGCCCAGCCATATCAGCGACTTTTCATTCATTTCGAGCCGTGCGTACATGATCACGCGCGGGGTCGATGGGGGCTCGATCCAAGTGTTTACATTTGGAGAAGATCAACACGAAATCACCCATGTCGCGAGCCTATCACTGCCTCCCCTAAAGTCTCGCACCCATCTGGTGCACTGCGCAATTCATACCGGTCCCTTTGTGGCAAAGTGTTCTCCGGACACGCCTTTCTGGACCGATCAGGAGGAGCGGATATATGTTCTATCCGTGCAATATATCCAGGTGGACCCCGACGTCCCTAGCGCCAGGCCGAGATTTTTTCTCTTCTTTGAGAATCGCACTCCTCTCGGATACATACAGAAATACCGCGAACAAAGAGAAACAAGCCCCTTCGAGGTGTCTTGGGAGGAGTGGGGCCCGCATAAGAGTCGCATGCTCCATCATCAAGTCCCATATCAGTGGCTCAGGTGAAGAGGAACGGAAAATTCACTGTTGCGATACATGCTGATAAGCTTTGGGTAGATATGTTCATGGCCATCGGGTGGTCTTTCCGTTACTATCAGGCAGCATGGAAGTGTTAGACTTCAATGTACGCAAAACTAAGCGGAACGTCTTCCCACCGCAGCCTGACTCCAAAGCGAGTATTGAGGTGGTTGATTACCCCTCGACCATCTGGTCGGACATGATCTTCCCGAAGCCCATCGAAACGAACTTGCCCTATCGCATTTGTCGAAGGGACGAGCTTAAAGGGTTTTCGGGCGTGATGATCGATGAGCAGAGATTGGTTGGTTTGAAGGTAAGTTGACGCTACAGAATACGTGATCCCGTGCTGATTTTCTTCCTCAGACCCCCTCATTTGCTGATGGTGATATGAAGGATTTATATGTTTTTGCATTTTGACCACTGTTGTACGCTATGCTTGACAAGATAAGTGTTATTCATAAATATCGACTTATGACGACATGTAAATTACCAGAAAAGATTGTACAGTCTGTCATGACTGCTCAATAAATGTAAGTTGTAAATTTCACGAGTTCCTCCCAGCAGTGGGGGCCTTTGATACGGTACGAATTGAAGCGAATCGTGTCAACTTTCTGGTGGCTGCGGTTCCTGAATGTACATGAATTGTGCTTGTTTTCCTATCGTGGACTAGTCTCCCCTGGGGACCTGCTAGCCAGACCATTTGAAGGTCGTTCCTTCATCAACAGCCGGTCGACCACGTGGCGCAAAGAAGAGGTTGCACTGGCCCAACCTTAAGCTTGCCCAGACCAAAAATCTGACCATTGATATTGCTATAAGAGTCGTCATCATGAGTCACATCGACGTCATCCCAGTGAGACTCTTGCAGTGAGACTCCGAGTCTCAGCCTAACAAAACAAGTTAATGACCACGGTATGAATGCAAGTTGTGAAACTGTGCAGCTGGACGCAACCGAGTCTCCAGTGTTTCAGGCCATCATATTATAATACTTTTCAGAGTAGCGCAACGTACGCCAGCAAACAGTCGACGTGCAATAAGACGCATGTGATAACTTGGAACTTTTTCTGCTGCCCGAGCTCATGGCATGATGTTCAGAATCAGATATTGACGATTCATGGACCTTTGCACGGACTCTTATTACATAATTCTGTTTTCATGCATGATTACCGTAGACCGTCACTGACAGCGTATTCAAGTTCAATATCGCCCACTACAATCAGTAGATTACGAACAAGAAATCCATTCATAAAGCATGGATATCCTAGTAGTAGTTTAGGGCCGGGTCTCACGTGTTTGATGGTGTTTAAAGCAGCCAAAAACCTAATTCTGTGCAGTCATTTCCATGTTTCGCTGCAAATTTGACGGTGCTTTCAATGATCAGTTGATCTGGAGCAAATATGAAATCCCACTGCGACGCGTCCTCGCACATCAAATTTCATCCCATTTATTGACATGGCGATTACGTGACCGTGCACTCCTTCACACCCTCTTGCACATCTCATGCGCACTAAGCAAGCACATCAACGATGTATCAACATTCGGACCTAAAAGGCAGTGGGGAAGGACAGACTCACTCATGGACAGTCGGCGATGCCCTCATTGGGAACCACGACACAGCAATCTTTACACGAACACGCGGTGTAGGATGTAATTTCGCCGTTAGATCCGCAGAAATACGCGAAATCGTCGTCGTTGTTCCAACCTTTGATGCCTGTTGAGCACCCCACTGTATCTGCGGATAGGGGCCGTGAGCAGGCGGTCTAAGGTCTGCACGTAGGTCGCCAAGTACCCACTAGGGGGACTGCAGGGGAGGTTCATGGGTATTATCACTAGGTCCCCGGATGCGATAGCTGCGCCAGCCATTGCTGCGGCAGATATGATCATAGTGGTGAATGAAGTGAATTTCATTGCTGAAACTTGATGGTGTTTTCCGAGTCCAAGGTTGGTACGTTGGTTTTTATGCACAAGCAGTGTAGGGGAACCTAAAGTCTACGTGTGCTTGCATCACTGCATGCTTGGCCATGAAACCAATGCCAGCTCATGCTCCAGTGAGCCGGGGCATAAGTTTCTTCAAAGAGTGCAGTGACACGTTAATGACCGCATCCGTAGAGAAAATCTCCCTCGAGATATCCAACAGAAATAAAATACTTCCTCGGCCGCCAGTGGCGACAAGCTGGCGGTTTGGCCAGAAGACTGCTTGCAGATGCCTTTTTCGCATGCTGGGGCACATGACTGAAAGATTTGTGGGTCGTCGTGTTCCACAGGCTAGCGGTGCTATTAACGGACGCGTTGGATATCAGCTCACCCTCCGTAGAGATGTCCAATGACAATTGTGTCTGAATGTGCACGCAGTGGGGATTCGTGCTGGGAACCGGTTAGTGCATCATGGTTCATTACTTTCATGGGACCCATATTCCCCAGAATCTCAAATTTATTCTGACTTTAGTTAAATTTTCTTGTTTATGCAGTTCTTTGTGCTCCTCGGAGTTCGAGAATATCATACCAAGCTCATGGCCGACTCCGATGCGGCAGACGTCGACATGAATTCAATGATTTTTCATGAGCGCGTATGCTTGTGAACTAGCAGTAGTGTGTAGCTCGATGCGATCGATAAACAACTGTTGGGTGTTATTCAGGGAGCGGGAGATTTTTTGTTTTTCCTCCCAGTTTCCGAGTTGCCATATGTAGTCTTATCCAAGTCATTTGGTATTTCGACGTGGATTCAAAAATAGGTCCGGACATCCGGATTCCGGATAAGACTCGATATAAAAGTCTTTCGAATTCTCTTTCAAGTTGATGCCCGCGTCACTCACTGTAAAAAATTCACAGAAAAAAAAGGCAACCAAGCAGAAACGAAGCTCTTCACCAATTTCAGCGTCTTTGTGGCACGACAACTCGCTGGCATCACCCGACTCAACTTTACTCTTTCCCAGATCTAATCCGATTCAAAAAAAAATACGTCAACGAAACGGAAACGAAATACGTACTACTTGTGGAGATCAAAGCACGTCCTCCAGGGACCAGCACGCCAGAGACCTTACTGCTAAGTGATTTCTTAACATATGTCAAAGCCACACTGGCACGATCTCACCAAAGACGCTGATCCCTGTACTAGTAGTATGTTGGTTAGCATATTTGGAAAGTCCATCACGATCGCGGGTTAGCTATGCATTCCCTCGATGCACAGGCGCCTCATACACAGTAAATGCCACACCCTTCTCAGCCCCATCTTCCTCGCTCTTCCATCCCTTCTTCCTATTCGTAATTACGGTCTCCCTCCGATCAAGTAACATATCGAGCTCTTCATTTGACAAGACCCGCTTCTTACCATCCGCAGAGGCACTCGTCACCACGCCGATCTGCCCGCCTCCTGGATTCAAGAGACCAGTTGTGAGTCCTGCGATTGATCGTGCGTCCGATTTCGGGGGTCCTCTTGATTGTCCGGGGAGTTCAGAGGGCTGATGTGACTTCAGCATGTCATCGCTGGAATGGGGAATTTTGGTGATGGCAAGGACTCTTATCAGTGCTGCTTTCATGCATGATTACAACCATCACTGGCAGTGTATTCAAGTTCAACATATTGAAGGCCGTCGGTCCACGATCAGTGGGTTACGAACAAGAAATCGATTCACAAGCATATCGTTGCACTGGTAACTTTGACTAAACCCAATTTATCTAGGCACAACATCCACTGATCCCACTATACTGTCCTCCTCACACTCGTCTCGTTTTCCTCAACACCCATATCCAAGGACCAAGATTTCTTTCTCTGTTTATGCACAGAAAAGAATCGTTATTAAGCATCAACCCACAATTTTTTTTGGCACGTACATGTAATATTCCGGCGTAGTTTTACTGACAGTGGTACGGGTCCGTCATCAAGGGAGGTTGCAACTCTCACGGGTGCAATCGGATGCAGCGTTGCACGTCGACTGATGATCAACCGAGGGACAACAGTTGGGCGTGACGATAACCGCACTTGACCCACAGGCATCTGACGTCGCGGGTATCGGGACCATGCAATCCACGGACTCCCGTGCACCACAGCACCTCGCATCAGTGGCAGAGGAAGGATTGTCTTGATTCTCCGCCTGAAATGGGGTCTGGACGGTACACGAATCACATGTCGTAGAATGTTGAACAACGGTATGAGAAGGTGATATGACTGCTGGCTCTACGTGCGTGTAATCTTCTTGGCACGTTTTCACACTTGCAGTTCCTTCAGCACATGGCGCAGGACAGTCATCGGCGTTTGAAACCGATTTTTCGACGGCGCCACTGGCTACCACTGACTGGGGGTCACTCTTGTGTGAGACAATGGGAGCACTGCAGAGGAGTCAGGACGATTTTCTCACAGCAAATGCTGGTTCGTACATTACAAGTGACACGCAGGAACAATTACAAGACTCGGGTACCCCGTCGAACGCAGGGGGAAGTATGTGGGGACCATCGTGCATCGGTGGTATGCTCATCGCGCTGGAAGAGTGAGTCTGGGATGGTTGTTGGCAGGAACATTCGCTGCTTCGAGTCGAGCCATGGCTCGAAGTCTGTATGGAAGTCGTTGAGATCGCGACGACCTCTGAAGACTGGATATGGGTTATCGCCGCATCCTGTCGAATATCTGGCTCACTGCAAGAAGATTATTCCAGTGTAAGTTCAAACGGTGTACCACTTACGAGTTTAACAACTTGGGTCTCGCAGTAGTCGAGGACAGCGGCGACGCAGTGTCGTCGGCGTCCTTATCCATCCGCCTATCATTGTTCCCTGTCACAGTGTTTGATGGCGATTGCCCAATCGTTGCAACGGTGGAATAAGACGTCAAATTTAGCTTGGACTTGCTCTCCGTCTCCCGTTCACGATAGTCTCTAGTTACCAAAGCATGGTGCACACAACCTACCGATACATCAACTTTGTTGTCCTCAAATTTCGGGGTGCTGTATAATTTTAATCAGGTCAAACACAGCGTTGTAAGAGTTACGTACGATAGACTGTCTTGATTTTCCTCCTGAGATGAGGTCTGGATGGTGTTTGAATCGCACGACATACAACACTGGTCGACAGCACGAGTCGATATGATTGCAGGCTCTGCATGCGTGTAATAGTCGCATCGCGGTTTCACGCTCGCGGTTCCTTCAGCACATTGCGCAGGACAGTCATAATCGCTTGAAATCGATTTTTGAACGACGGCACTGGTTACCGTAGAGTCACCCTCGTTTGAGACCAGAGAAGCGCTGCAGAAAAATAAGAATGATTTTCTCACATAGCAAACGCTGATTCGTACATTAAAGGTGACATGCAGGAACAATTGCAAGAGTCATGTACCCCATGAAACGCAGGAGGAGGTAGGTGGGGACCGTCATGCATCGCGCTGGAAGGGTTGTTCGATTGGTGTGGAGGATTGTCCAGATAAGTGCATCCTTCCCTGCTGTTAGTCAAGCAATCGCTCGAAATCTGCACAGAGATCCCCAACACGGTGGTGTCCTGTGTAGAATGACGTTCGCATCTGAATTGGACATGATTGGCTCCCGCATCCTGCGAGATGCTCGGGAGTTCGCTAAAAGACATGAATTTCGACGCAAGGAACTCAAAGCGTGCGTCACGTACGAAGGAGACAGCTTAGATCCAGAATTAGGTGAGGATGGGAACGACACAGCGCCCTTGTTAGCCTGGCACGTACAATCTGCCAATGTCTCCTCGTTGACGTCCTGAAGTCTCGGCACGCTGTACAAATCTCAATCAAAGGGCAAGCTCAGCGTAAAAATTACGTACGATGAGTCATAACTAGGCGGGTTCCTAGCCACATTTTGACCACAGGATTCCATGCATGCGTGAATGGCTGCAGGAGAGGTCTGACCTATCGTAGAAGCACCTACAGGTAAAGGTGGGTTGCTGATTGCATTGGAGGCTAGACTTGACTGATGAGTGTTCTCGACTGTTACATCGAAGGGTTGCACCAGGGTTGAATTGTTTTCTCTAGGTGCCAAGAATGGGCGGACGGAAGCAGTTGCCTGCGATTGGTTGACCTTATAATCGAAGGCTGACTCGTCGCCACAAGAGAAAGTTTGGGCTAGCTGTCGGTGGACGCGTTCGCTGCTCACAGTTGAGTTACGGTTTGAAGTCTGTATGGAAGTCGTTGAGACCGCGATGACTTTCGAAGACTGGGTGACGCATTCAGACTGGATACAGGTGGTCGATGCATCCTGTGGAATGTCCAACTCACTGCAGGAAGATTACTCCAGTATAATGAGCTCAAACGGTTTACCACTTACGAGTTTGACTGCATGGATCTTGTAGTAGTTGAGGACAGAGGTAACACAGTGCCGTCGGCATCCTTATTCACCCGCCTGTCATTGTTCCATATCGTAGTATCTGATCTCGATTGTGTGAGTATTCCAACGGCGGAATAAGATGTCGACTCGAGCTTGGCGTCGCTCTCTGTCTCCCGTTCATGATGGTCTCCTCTGGGTACCAGATCTTGGTGCACGGTACCTGCCGATACAAGAACAACTTTTTTGTCCTCAGATTTCGGGACGCTGTATAATTTTAGTCAGGTAAAACACAGTGTAAGAGCTACGTACGATGAGCCTTGGCTAGTATACCGGTCCCTGGCCACATCAAGATCACGAATATCTTGTAGGTAAGCACCTGAAAGAGGAGTCTGACCTATCGTCGATGTTCCTTCAGGCAATGGCGAGTTCTGAAGATCATTGGGCGTTGGACTTGACTTATCGACTACATTGTCTAAGGATCGTAGTGTTGTGTTGCTCTCCTCCACTTGAAGTACGACGATGCCAAATGAGTCTGTTTGCTGACGATCGCTTCTGAGCGTGTCATCAGTAAGTGACTTGTCGCTAGAAGACAATATTCAGACCGACCGTTGTTGCGCGTGCCCTTCACTGCTGTCTGACGATTGATGACTCCACGTCTGCTCCGATTTGGAAGTCTTTGAAACCACGTTGGCCTCTGAAGACTGGCACTCGCATTCTGACTCATGAGTAGGATTCGTCCCCGCGTCCTGCGGAACGCCCTCTTCGTCGGCCCCAAGTCCCGGAGAGCTAGAAAATCTGAGTTGAAGGTAAACGCAGCATAGTAGAAACCACGCACGGTGAACCTTGCCTAGGCTGGTCCCTGGTCATATCTTGACCACAGGGTTCCCCGTGTATGCCAGCAACCAGAGAATGACGATGACTTGTCGTCAATGTGCTTTCGATGACATCTGACTTCCGAATCTCGTTTGAGGCCAGACTTGACTTCTGCACGTTCTCGACTACTTTGTCAAAGGGTCCTGGTGAATTCGAATTGTTCTGCTCGTGTTCCAAAGACAGACAGACGTCGGAAGAAAAGGCTGCTTCGCTACAGGAGAATGACTGGGCTGACTGTTGGCGGATGCACCCTTCTCTCTCAGCCGAGCAATCATGGTTGGAGGTCTGCACAACAGTCATTGAAGCTGTGTCGATCCCGGAAGACTGGTGCTCGCATCCGGACTGAATATGACTGGTTCTTACATCCTGCGGGTCACTGCAAGAGATTTATTCCAGCATCAGGGGCACAAATGGTAGGTGACTTACGAAGGAGACGGATTGGACACAGCAGTCATCGAGGACGTGGACAGTGCACAGACATCGCCTTTCTCATCCACCCGCCTATCATCGCTCAATACCACAGTTTCCGACGTGGATTGTCTTGAAATCCCGATGGTATTGGAATGAGGTGCCCGTTCATGATGGCATTCACTACCCTCCACAGGCTGGGATATACCATCCGCAGATCCATCCTTTTCGTCTCCGTCAAATTCCGAAGCGCTGGAAAACGTTAGTTGAAGGAGCATAAAATGTAGGGACTACTTACAAAGAGCGTTGACGACGCCGGCCTCTCGCCATATCTTGACCATGGAGTCCCCTTTGCATATTAGAAGCTGGAGAAGGAGTCTGACCTTTCTTCTCGACAGACTGATCTCTTGACGTCCGCACGATAGTCGTCGAAAACGTATTGACCTCTGAGGACCGGTGCCGGCGTGCAGACTGAATATAATCAGATCCCGCATCCTGTGGAACGCACGGTTTACTGAAAGAGGTTTATGTGAGGACCACATACTTGACTAGCGTCGTCACTTACGAATTAGACAGCTTGGGCCCAGTATTAGTGAATGCCAGGGGTGAGATAGCGTCGTCTGTGTCCTCATGAGCGTTCAATGTGGCAGTCCCTGATGCATATTTCCCGGGACCCCTGACGGCACAGACATAAGACATTAATTCGAGCTTAAAGGGTATGTCACGTACAAGGGAGACACATCCGAGTCCAACCCAGTATTAGTTGAAGACGGGGACAACACAACATTGCCGACGTTCTCAACCACCCGAATATCATCATCCGATGTGGTAGTTTCTGACGTGAATTGGCTGAAACTTCTGACGGTACGAAGATCAGATGTCATGTTGAGTTTAACTTCTCTCTCCAGCTCCCGTTCACGATACTCTCCTCTGCCCTCCACAGCCGTGTAAATGCGATCCGCCGATACATTCTCTTTGTCGGCCTCGCTTTTCGGAGTGCTGGGCGAGGGCAAATGCGAGGAACCTTGACCACGCTGCTGCCTGGCCATATCCCGATCACATAGTTCGCCGTGTACGTTAGCAACCAGAGGACTCTGACCTGTCGTCACCGTGCTTTCAGCAAAAGACAAGTTCCGAATTTCGTTGGAGGTCGAATTCGACTTCAGCGAGCTCTCGACTGTTATGTCCAAGGATTGTGATGAAGTTGAAGTCGACGTGTTCTGCTCATGTGCCAAGGACAGACTGACGTCGGTATACAAGGTTGGTTCACCAGGCTCGTCACTACAGGAGAACGGCTGGGCTGGCTGTCGTCCGATGTACCCTTCGCTCTCAGTCGAGCGATGGTTCGGGGTCTGCGTCAGAGTCATCGGAATCGGAATAGTGTCGACCTCGGAAGACTGGTGTTCGCATACAGACCACACAAGACCGGTTCCTGCATCCTGTGGAACCCCTGGATCACTGAAAAAACACGTTTATTCCAGTGTCATATGCTCAAATGGGGTATCACTTACGAAGAAGATAATGCGGTGGGTGATGACGGGGGAAACGCAGTGACATCGGTGTCCTCATGCATTCGCCTATCAATTGTCAAGACTGCCCTCTCCGACGTGGATCGTGATTGTTCGCCAATCATGACAGTGTGGGATTCAGAATAAGACCCGCTATCCATCTCCCGTTCATGCCGGCCTCCTCTGTTCTCCACAGCCTGGTACACACACTCTGCCGATTCGTCATCATCAAGTTTTGGAGCGCTAAATAACCTTAGTCTAGCGAAAAATAAACAGGAATAGGGACCACGTACAAGAAGCGCTGACAAGGTCCAGGTTGGTCTGTCGCCATATCTTGATCGCAGGGTCTGCCTTGTATAGTAACTAGAGGAGAACTCTGGTCTCCGCCTTCAATCGAGTGATGGCTTGAGGTCTGTGTCTGCACAACAGTCGTCGAAACCAAATTGACACCTGAGGACCGGTGCTCGCATGCAGACTTAATACGATCGATCACCGCATCATGTGGAACGTCCGGTTCACTGAAAGACGTTTATCGTAAGGAGCTCAAACTCGACAAAATGGGCTGTCACTTACGAAAGAGACAGCTTGTGCCCAGCGTTACTAGATGACAGGGATGAGACAACCCTATCAGTGTCCTCATCCGTTCGTCTACCAGTGCTCAATACTACGGAACTCTCCGATTGCCTGACGCTCCTAAGGGAACTGGCACTAGAATAAGACTCTGATGTGAGCGTAATTTCACTCTCCGTCTCCCGTGCATGATAGTCTCCTCTGTCCTCCAAAGCCTGGTGCATGCAATCTGCTGATACAATCGCTTTGTCGTGCTCGATATTCAGAGTGCTGGATAGTGTTAGTGGGGACAAACACAGCGTAGGAGCTACGTACGAGGAGCCGTCAAGTTGAGTAGGTAGATCCCTGCCTACAATTTGACCACAGGATCCCCCTTTCAGGTTAGCAGCTGAGGAAGACGTCTGACCTATCGTACACGTGTCTTCAGGCAAAGATGGGTTCCGAAGATTATTGGATGCTACGCTCGGCGACTTCGGCTTGTTTTCGACGGTTTTACGTGGGGGTTGCGCTGGTGTCGCGTTATTCTCCTCCAGTGCCAAGGACGCTCGGACGAGCAAGGATGAGTTGACTTCTTCACCACTCCTGTCGAGCTTGTCATTAGTAACCGGTTAGATGCTAAAAGAGAACGTCTGGGCTGACTGTCTTTGAATATGCACTTCACTGCTCTCATTTGATATCTGCATAGAACTCAATGAAATCGTGTCAACATCTACAGACTGGCGTTCACATCCAGATTGAATATGATTGGTTCCCGGGTCCTGCAGACCACCCGGTCCGCTGAAAGAGGGTTATTAGAAGGTAGATAACTGAAAGGGCGTGTCACATACGAAGGAGATACCTTGGACCCAGCATCGAGCGAGGGTGAGTACATTCCAGCGCCGTGAGCGTCCTCGTTGATCCGCCCATCATCGGCCAATGTCACAGACTTCGACGTGTGGTCTCCAAGAATCTTGACTGTATGGGAAGAGGATGTGTGGCTAAGCCGAATCTCGCTCTCCGTTTCCCGTTCATGATCGTCTTCTCTGCCCTCCACATTTTGGTACTTACGATCTGCAGATACATACTCTTCCTCACCCTCAAGTTTCTGAGTCCTGGGAAATCTTAGTTAAGAGTAAACATAGCGAAGTAATGACGTACGAAGAGACTTGACTAGGCCTGTCCCTGGCTACGTCTCGACCAGAGGGTTCCCCACGCATGCTAGCAGCCAGAGAAGAACTCTCGGTTGTCGTCAATGTCCTTCTAACGAAAGACGAATTTCGAAGACCGCTTGATGCTTGACTTGGCTTCTGCGTATTCTCCGCCACTAAGTCTACGGATCGTGTTGAGGTTGAATCGACATTCTCCCCTGGTGCCGCGGACACACAGGCAGCGACGACAGATGAAGAAGATGATGAGTCTGTGTACTCACGATGCCTATGGAGCCCGCCATCCGTAACTGAGTCATCGACACATGAGAACGTTTGGGTAGGCTGTCGTCGTGAAGGAGGCAAGCTCGGAGTACACGCGACAGTGACAGTCGACGACGGTACACATTCCTCAGCTACCAGGACCGATGTGACCTCCTCGGTGCTTGTGGATGTTGTGGTTTGGGAAGCTGAGGTAACAGCGACCCTATTTTCTTCAACGCGCTCCCGTTCGAAGGTGTTCTCGTACTCCTGTACTTCGGCACGGGTGCGTCTCCATCTGCTATCCCCAGCTACTTGAGATACAGACACAGAAGTGATATGTGGCACGGGGTGAGGCAGAAGTTTGACTTCGCCATTTACGATCCCAGCGTTCAACGAGTCGATAGCGATCAGCGCTGGAAGTTCGCTGGCCATCGGCGCTGGAAGTTCGCTAGCGACTACGTCGCTCTCAACACCATCACAGAGTTGAGATTCGATACCATAGGTTGTGCGAGAGACAAGCTGCCAATGCTCAGAGTCGCATGCATGCGCATCCTCCGAGTTACATGCATGCCCAGCATCACACACATGCTCCGAGCCACATACACGTTCCGAAGTAATCGCGCCTCCATCCTCATGGAACGTCTCAACAGGACTTTGACGTGGATACTCAGCCGAACGTAAACCAACGTCTACGTGATCGCCAACAAGTGAGCTCTGAGCTGGGGGTGAAGTGGTGAGTGGAAATGAAGGTGAAGCAGTGGATGGAAAGGGAAAGACAGTGGATTGTGTTTGTAGAACACGACTTGGACTTGAACTTGTATTTTCCCTGGACTGGTATTTCTGGTGCTGGACACCGCGTTGCGACACATGCGTCTGAGCACCACGCTGCGATATATGCGTCTGAGCACCACGTTGCGATACACGCGTCTCCGCACCACGTAACCCAGCGGGGTGTACGGGACAGTAGCTTGTGTTTAACTGCGATTTACTCGTGTCATCGAGGGCGCAGAGACACGAACCAGAACTAAAACCAGAACCAGAAACGGAAATAGGGCTTCCTGAGGTATCTGCCCAAGTATCGTGAGATGGTAGAGGCAGTACTAGTGCGGATGAGGAAAACGGATAATGCGCAGGCGTGGGTGTAGGCGTAAGCTGAGAGTCGTCCTTTTCTGCGGGATTGCTGAAATTAAAACTGTTGATCTGGGGAGCAGGAGCAGTGGCATTGCTCGCCAACGGGTGGGAGTGACTCGTGACATCGCTCTCCAACGAGTAGCTCGTAACGCCGCTCTCAGACGAGTAGCTGGTGACACCGCCCGTCAACGAGTAGGAGTGACCCATAATACCTCTCCCCAACGAATGGCCCGTGAACTGGTCTGTGTGGTGACCCACAGACGCCGGAGCAGCGACACCAGTGTTTTGATTTTGATATCTTCGAAGCGGCAAGACATCCTGGACGTAACTACCAGGCATGCGCATATGCATGTGCATCGATTGAGCGGGAGAATCAGGCGGCGGCGGACTGCTAGATTGGGGTCCACCCCAACCACCTACGTCTACACTGACACCGGTATTCGCAACCTCGCGGAACCCCGCGTGTTCGAATCCAGATCGACCACTAGTACTAATACTAATACCAGCGCCTCGTTCACCAGCACTTGCAGAGCGTTCGTATTCAGCGCTAACACTGTAAAAGTTGCCCACTCATTCATTAAGACAAGTCTCAGTCTCAGTCGTCTGCCAACTCACCTAGGGAACCCATACGATTCAGCTTCAGTTCCAACTTCGGATTCGGATTCGGATTCAGATTCAGATTCTTGACGAGGGGCGTAATCAGGACGGACTCCGAGTCGAGGTTTCGATAACGGTGACGGTACTGCTGCGTGGGTTTGGTGGTGGTGCGGTACAGGCGCGTATTCAGGCCTGCGAGGACTGGCAGCGGACATGACCATCGCAGTACCACCGGTATCAGTGCCAGTACTAGTATCAGTGCTTTGTGCACCGTCCCACTGAATGCCTCGTGCACCCTCCCACCTCCCACCTCGTACACCATCCCACCTCGTACTCTGCGCACTATCATACCGAAAAACATCCACACCCTCCCCCGCATCAAAACCCGTCTCTACAGGGGTTCTTGCTCGTGCACGAGGAGGAAGCGATCGAGAGCGCTCCGTTACCTCAAAAGGATGGAGCTGCCTCAGCGGATGCGGGACGAAGGTACCATAGGATTGGGATTGGGATGGGGAATTCCATACGTCGACGTCTAGAGATTCGTTCGATTTCGATGAATGGTCATGTCTGGAGTTGGAGTTGGTGCCGGAGTTGAAGCGAGCAAGGGACTGGGTCCTAGTACGTGATGCGATGATAACGTGGTCGGGGTTGGGGTAGGGGGGATTGGGGTCGGGATTGGATTGGGATTGGGATTGGGATTGGGATTTCCATACGTCGACGTCTAAAGATTCGTTCGATTTTGATGATGAATGGTCATATCTGGAGCTGGAGTTGGAGTTGGAGCGAGCAAGGGACTGGGTCCTAGTGCGTGATGTGATGATGGCGTGGTTGTGATTGTGGTCGGGGCTAAGAGTCGCCAAGCGCTGGCTATCGTAACTATCTGCAAAATCAGGAGCAGAAGCGTTTTCAGGAATATTCTGATGATACACATGAGATGTCTCCGAGTCAAGATCGTAGCCGGTGTCGGTTTCGTGTTTGGTATCCACCATCTCCTGGTGCGTGAAGCCTGTCCCGGAAGAATATGGGATCTCCCAACTCAGCCGTGCGGCGCACACGAGGACATCGTACCGGGTCACCTAGGCCGTATCGCATGGTTAGTGGCCAACGACGTGGCGGTTATTATATAATTTACCGTTATATCCTGACTGCCGTAGCTGATGATAGCACCGCTAGTGAGCTGAGGGCCAGCCTTGCCTAGGACTGGTGCGGGTGATGCCGATGAGCGAAAACGATGCCTGATGGAGGTGACTTACAAAATGATCCCTGCGTTCATAAGCCACAAATAGTAGTGTACTGTCGTGAGAGGACTTACTTCAAGATGAGCCCGGGCGATGAAAAGAGGTCCATGAGCATCCGAGGAAAATGGAACAGCGTGGGGCGGGATAACGTTGTCTCGGACTTCAACCTGTGCGATTGTTTGATGTTGTGCGCCAGAGAGAAAGTAAAGAATGACTCACCCAAACGAGAGGCAGCAATGAGTATTCTTTGTCGTAGTCTGATCTGGCCTTGGTTGTGAGCTGTGTTTTGAACTTCGGTTTGTGCTGCGAGCTATAGGGTCTGGCAAGCAAATCAGAAGAACGATCGATATCAGAGGTAATCAGAGGAGATTGATTCCCCTTTCGATATGCGGGTAAGGTCTGGAAAACATCACGGTATGAATGAAACATGTCGAATGTATGTTCTTGTTCTTGGGACGGAACATTCAGTGGAGGAACTGCGGGTTGATATAGATCTTTTCAAAAGTACAAAGTCACTTCAGCTACGCCACGTTGTAAGATGAAATAGCAAATGAGACTGTGCGAGATGTTGTATATCAGTCATTGGATTACGCCGAACTAGCTGATGAGGGGCATTTCACTGCACGAGGTAGAAGATGGAGTGCTAGATTGATAGAACGACGCCCAGGACGTGTGTGATTGCGGAAGTTGAGAGCCAGTTGGGTGGAGATTGAAGACCTCGTTGCAAAGAGGGTTGAGGGTGAGGTGCTAGTCTCCCGTAGTTAGAAGGAAGATAGTCTAACCCTTCTATATCGTGAGGTCTGGGGAAACACATTATATATACGCACCTGAGACGGAACGTCCAAGTTCTGGACATATCATATATGATACAGTGCATGCAAAACTCTCGGACACTTAGCGATACAGTGCTTCCGTAAAGAAAATGACAGTCGCAGGAGTTGATTCGACTCTGGTCAAGTTTACTCTTTGCTAAGCCTGGATGGCAGGCTTGAGCTCAGTGACAGTGGCGAACCGGAGCATGTGCATGAGGCGGCATTTCAAATTTTCGAAATAGCCCAATCCAGTAATTTAGCGCCCGTTCGTTCCATCAAGCCTTCCACGCCTTGTGGAAGATCAATACCTCGTTGCAAAGTCGGAGGGTTCATGCCAGGAGGTACTTTGAATCTCGATTGATGATTAGATTTCAACCCTACAACAATCCCGTGTGCATTGCACTGCCAACTGATGGAGGGTCAAGCTAAGTTGAAACGTCTCTGCAACTCAAGGTACCAAGTTTTCCTGGCCTTGAGGACATCCATCCCGTGTTGATGACATTCCTGGCAGTGCATCGCCAATATTAATGTCATCAGTTAAGAAAAGTATAGTATCTGGTGCAGCCACCACGTCCGATGCATAGTACTAGTCCTAGCTTGCAACTAGCAAACCTCCATCCCTGCGAGACGCTCTTCTGTAGATTGCCTGATTTGCTATCCTTGCTAGGTGCCTCACACAACCATGCGTAGTTGCTTAAGAAGACGTGGGTAAGTCTTTTCTCTTTCATCGTTGCTCGTTCACGACTTCCTTTTAATGACCTTCTGTTCCACTAGGGAGGCACACCTGCTATTGCGCTCTTTGCATCCAATTCCGGTCCGTAGTACATCCACCCTCGCAGTATTCGCATCGTAAACATCTTTGCAACCCGAGGCTAATTCCATCAGCGGGAAAAGGCTCATAATGCAACCACCGTGACCTCCACGCCAGAAAGCTCGCAATTCTAGGGCTAGTACTGGCGCGCCACCAGTGGGTTATCTAATATTGGCGTCGCAGCCACACCTGCGAACCTTCCAGACAATCACAGAAACTCATGCAGAAACTCGTACTACAACTGGCAGGCCCCCTACCCCACTCTGAGCTGAACGTGTCGCAGAGGTTAGCTGCAGGATCCCTGCCGGATGCTTCCCGCGCCTCTTGCGCACACGGCGAATAGGTCCTGCATCGCGCTCTCAGCTGCTTGGCGATCCTTGCC